ATTTTAAAAAGTCAATATTATCATTTAAATCGTTGTTAATTACATATTTGTCATCTTTGATCTAGCCCATTAAAATATTTAATCAATTTTGATCTAACTTTCCACTTTTAGTACTTGGGTTTTCGAGAAACTATTAGTTCTCAAATTATATATATATATATATATATATATATATATATATATATATATATATATATATATATATATATATAGGGAGATGATCAAATGAGAATACCTAAAAGGTTGAGAACGTGAGAACAATTGTAGACCAATCATTTCATAAGGGCGTAAAAGGAATTTTACAATGTAATTAAATATGGATAATTAATTAATTCCTACAATCATGAGATGTTGTCTAATTAATTGATTTTTTTTACCTAAATACTAGAAATGAATTTAATATATTTTTAATCAAATAAATTATTTAAAAAAAAAACTTTTTTGCCATGATTAAAAAACGTTTTTTTTTTATTTTTTTACCAGTATATCAAAAAGATTGATGAATTTATCATTTAACCAAATATGTGTAATCATACAAAAATAAAACATATTTGTAATCATATATGAATTCGTTGTAATCGTGAATGAATAGATGAATTAAGTTGTAATAATAAGCGAATATAACACAATTTATAGAGAAAAATTACAATACAACTATAATCATAAATAAATAAAACATATTGGATATATATATATATATATGTAGATTATACATCTATTCATAAATAATAACACAAAAAGTTACAATGTAATACATATATATTTTTCTATAATCACATATGAATACAACATAAAGAAACATTCGAATAAAAATAATTCACTATTATTATATAATCATAAATGAATAAGGCGAGATCTTTTCCACTTTGTAATGTTTGGCTGTATATTAGCACTCCAACATCCGGTTTGTAAAAGCTACACACTGTCAAATAAAGAAATAAATACAATTAACAATCAATTAAATGAAAATGAATTTAGAAAAGCACATATGAAGTTAAATTATAAATGAAGAGACATGAACAAAATATAAAATACATATGAATTCCTATAATTGTAATTATATTCATACATGAATATATATACATATGATTAATAAAAAATGAATACACTTCTAATCATAAATTAATATCATAGTATAAATTACATTAGGTTCTAAAATTGTTTGATTCCCTTAAATCTTTATATCAATCGAGAAACAACTGTGAAGAAGTGAAGGGAAAACAAAAAATAACTCACCTGCAGAAGCAATGTTTGGAAGCCAATAGAACAGTTAAACAAAACACCATAAGCCTATAAAACAAGAAAATGATTAATCATAAAATGGAACACTTCAAAATCATGCAAATTCAAAGAAAATCATAGCTAGGCATTTCATCAAACACATACTATGCACAACAATCATTTTCATATCACCTGATATTATTTCAAAGCATGGTCAGAACCTGGTTTTTAGTTAAAAAACCGATTAGGTTTTTAGTTAAAAAACCGATTAGGTTTTTGTAGAGAGTGTGATATAAAAAGAAGAAGAAAACAGGGGAGAGAGGCGGTGGAATAGGAGGCTCCTGTATCGATTGGAGATTAGAATAGGAGGCTACCACTGGTCACTCTTTCCATTAATTCACATCAACTCATCTTCGTGACTTCGTCGACAGCCAAGATCTCGCCCACCAACTACTCATCCAGAGAGAGACTTAGGCGTCTCCGACCGCCCTAGCACCTTGGCGACTCTCAACATCACCTCAGCCTCGTACGACCGTACTTGGAGGGTCCTTCGTCGCAATCTTGCCACTGAGATCCTACAACCCTCCCGCGTGAAGTGGGCCCTTCAAACCATGATTGGTCGCTTGCAGCACATTTAAAAAAAATCGAGCACAATCCTTTCTGATTAAAATCGATTTGCAAGTCTGGAATCTCAAGATGAAGGTTATGACGATGGTTTTGGAAGTGTATGGTGGTGACGGCTCAATTAGGGTTTAAAGGTTTGAAATTTGTATTTAGAGAGTGAGATGAAGAAGGATACGTGAGTGAGAGATAGAGAGAGAGGGGATAGAGAGATTCCAGCAACTTGACGAAAATAGGTTAACATGTAATGACCATATTACCCTTTAGACTATTAAAAATTTACAATCTCATCCCATAACTTTTAGAAATTTACATTTTCATCTCATGACTTTTATAAATTATATTAGCCTTAGATCGTAAAATTTGAAGAGTTCAGATTTGTTCTCGCGTTCTCAACCTTTTTGGTGTTCTCATTTGATCCTACTCCTATATATATATATATATATATATATATATATATATATATATATATATATATATATATACTATATTATAAAGCATATTAGTCATATCTTGAATTTTAGGAGGTATAAGTTACAATGCTTTTTATACAAATCAATTATGCATAAATAATTCATTAATATTTGTCAAAAGTTTGAAGACTTGAATTAAAGAATGTTATTAAGAAATTCAATTTTGAGCAAAATAAAAATTTTAAAATATTAAATTCATATATATAAATTAATTTACATTTCTTAAACTAGACATCAAAATTAATTAATTTACATCAATACTATAAATAGGCAATATAAATATAAGGCATAAACAATTTTTTTTTTTATTTAAAAGTGATAATTTTTTATTAGGTAATAATTCATAATAAAATTTAATAATTATTTTCATGTAAGAAATTATTTGCCAAAAGAGTTATTTATCGACGTCGCTTTGCGCGGGCACACATCTAGTGTGTATATATATATATATATATATATATATATATATATATATGCTTATGTTATTGTGTTCTAACTAATTATTGTATGGATGTAGGAATGATTGTGAGCCAATTATTTTATTTAATTAAAGAAAGTGATTAATAACTATTATTGAATTATAAATAATTGAAAAATACCATCTCATTTCATTATAAGGGTATTTTAGTCAATTAATATAAATTTAAAAAAGGAAAATTATAGATTCTAGGAAATAGTTAATACGTTTTTTACCTATGGATGGGCACCAAAGTTTGAAAAAGAAGTACCTTTTCCTCTATTCATTTGATCCACACCCCTCCTGCATATAAAAATTGAAACTTCATATTCCACACCAATTATGATTTTCATTTTTTTTGTTGTTTCATTCTGATAGGCACCAAAGTTTGGCCAAATTTATCTTACGCCTTATTACTGATCAAGTTGCGAGAAAAGAAATATATATTTTTTTTGTAACCAATACATATTGGATACATTTTTCTCTAACCAACACATATTGGATCCTTTCAATAAAATGTCAATGAAACTATGTTTACCTTAAGCAAAAAATGATCTGTAGCTTCTTTTTTGGTGGATTTTTTTCATTGAGGCAATCCATCAAACACTTGTTATGCATTTTGAATAAAAAAACAACCATGTGAGACCTGATGTCACTTACCTATTTTCATATTACAAGCCCCTCAATCTAAAGCAATTATGATATAAATTAAAGGGAGAATTTCGTATATGCCCTTGTTAAACCTCGAAATATCATATTTGCCCAGCCTAACATCTAAATATCATATTTGCCCTCCTTAATGTTTTAGAATATCGTATATACCCAAATTTATTTTTTTGTTTATTTTTATTGATTTATAATTCTTTTTTATATTCTTAAATCATTATAATTGAAAGAACATATTAAAATGACAATAATGCCCTTACTTCTAAATGGCAATACATCTCAATCCCACAAAACCTGACGTTGATTTATTTGGCAGCCTCATATCGACTTACGATCCTAGCCTCCTGTTGTTCCCCTGTTGTCGCGGCTTCATTCCTGCAATCACACGATCACGCATCAGGTAATCGACTACTTCCCCTATTCCTATTTCCTTTTCTCCAATTTTGTTTCTGTTGCTGATCGATTTATGTATGGTGAATGCGCTGAAACTAACACGTGAATGTCTTGATACTTATCTAATGTGATTGATTATAAACCCCTTCTATCTAGATGTTTCAAGATAATGTATATACAATGGTAATCTTCAACTACAACTGTCTAGAAAGCTTGTAGTCATGTTAATGAAGGCCCCACTTCAATGCAATATGTAAATTCTTTCTACTGTGGCCATATACGTGGCCATATACGTGGCCATATACGTTTATTGAAGTTACATTAGCAATAAGAATAAAAAAAAATCTTTTGTATTAGTGTTTTGGTTGTTGTTTCTTGGTTTATAGATCAAAGGTTGTTATTTGTTGCAAATTATCCAAAAATATAATGTCTTTTGTGGTTCCAATGTCCGAATTATGAAACAGTCGCCAATTCAAATGATTATTGGTTAGTTAGTAAGTGAATAATATAGCATGCGTATGGGGGGCAAATAATATGTTTCTTGGTATAATATATCTGTTTAGTAGCAATCATGTTCCTGTTTTGGAACCTGGTAACTTTTGTTTTTAATCGATCACATTTCCTAAAATTTATCATGTTAATACTGTTTTGAGGGAAAAAAAATTGATGATAATAGTTTGTCCTTTTGATTTTTTTTTTTTTTTTAATTTTTAGTTACAAATGTTCTTAGTTAAGGTTCAATCAATGGATTACATGTTGTAAGATGTTGCTAAAAAGGTTTTTCTAGAAAGCATGTTGCTAAGAAAGGTTTTTTCTTGAAAGTATGTTGCTAAAAACAACTTTTAAACAAAGTATGTTGCTAAAAAAAGGCTTGTCCATAAAGTATGTTGCTGAAAAAGGTTGTTAAACAAAGTCCGTTGCTAAAAAAAGGCTTTTAAACAAAGTATATTGATAAAAAAAAAAAAAAGCTTATCTAGAAAGTATGTTGCTGAAAAAGGTTTATCTAAAAAGTATGTTGTTGAAAAAGTCATGTAAACGAAGTATATTGATAAAAAAAAATTGTTTAGAAAGTATGATGCTAAAAAGGTTTTTCTTGAAAGTAAGTTGCTTAAAAAGCTGTCTAGAAAGTACGATGCTAAAAAAAACTTTAATCCACAAAGTATGTTGCTAAAGAACTAAAGTACATGTTTTCTATAAATCTAATCCACAATAACAAATGGATAATGTCAACAAAATGTTTCTACCAACTACAAACAAATCCGGTCAACAATAACAATGTAAACTAATTATATTTTTCTACAAAATGTCTTCAATATATTTCTTGAGATGAAGTATTGGCGACTTCTAGAAATGCATCTTCCCGAAAGACTACTTTCCAGGTGATCACTAAACAATGGCACGAGAATGTATAACTAAATGCGTTTGGACAACACCATCAATACCTGTAATCACAGAGGTCATGTGAGAATACTATTTTTTCAACATGTCCATTTATGAGTTATGACATGAATAACTTACCCTTTTCAACAAGTTTGACATGATTAACGCTTGGAATAGTCATCATTAGATAAGAAAAGGACAAAGCAAAGCCACGCGAAACATATGTAGGAAAATATAACTCTATATGAAGTTTGAACAACCCCATAGTATTTATGATGCCTACAACTTGCTTTTGCACGACTTCTCCATTTCACTAGATATTTATGCATTCAATTTCATCAACCAAGTATGCCAATGATGACAATTTTTTAATACCATAAAGCTCAAAACCTCAAACATCCAGGGGGAAGAACAATTAGGCACTAAAGCAACCCAAATAAACTATTTAATGCAGGTTGTGTCCTCAATTCATTCCAAATTCTAGAAACTTTTTAAGATACATGTAATCCAAATCATGCCCTAATTCCAATTAGTATTTCGAAATAAATCAGTCAAAAACTCAAACGAAATTGGAGAGAGGAAAATAGAAAGAGGGTCAAATTTACTTACCGTATGCATGTTGCGTGTGATTGCAAGAAGAAAGGTGCGACAACAGGGAAGAAGCTACGATGCAATAATACATAAATCGATCAGCAACAAAAACGAAGTTGGAGAGAATAAAAATAGGAATAGGGTCGAAGTAGTCGATTACGATCGTGTGATTGCAGGAATGAAGCTGCGACAACACGAGAACAGGAGGTTGCGCACTTGCGATCGTATAGGAGGCTGCCAAAGTGAATCAACGTGACATTTTGTGGGAGTGAGATGTATTGCCATTTAGAAGTAAGGGCATTATTGTCCTTTTAATATGTTTTTTCAATTATAATGATTTAAGAATATAAAAAAGAATTATAAATCAATAAAAATAAACAAAAAAATAAATTTGGGTATATACGATATTTTAAAACATTAAGTAGGGCAAATATGATATTTAGATGTTAGGCCGGGCAAATATGATATTTCGACGTTTAACAAGGGCATATACGAAATTCTAACCTAAATTAAAAGAAATTATTGTGAGTGATGTAATTAGATTTAAGAAACCTAGTCTTTTACCTCATAGAAACAAATACCTCATGGCCTCTTCCTTGGTTTTCTTTTCCCAGATGTCCAATTTCAACAACACTCTCTAGAATGAACTAAAGAAACACACAAAAGATACTAAAGGTATGGGTCTTTTGTGAGTAATACGAAAGAAACTGAAAAATGAACTTGTATATAGTGACAAATGAAGAACCAAATACATAAATTTTTTATTGCTCATGAAAACATCAGACCCTGATCAAAGAATTACGTCTTTGAAAAGTCTCCTGCCACCGGACATAACAAGTAGCTCACGAAGCATCTTCGATTTCCCTCTATTTCTCCGTTCTTCAAATTCCTTCAATGAAACCCAAACCAAACTGAAATCAAAACTAATAAAATCATATTATAAGAACGGGAAAATCAACCTAGTGCTATAAAGAAACACGTTTAGTTTTGGGGGGAAATTAAAAAAATCCAACCTTTATGATTTCTATAGCGGTACATTAGCTGACGCAGAATCAAATGAAGAGAGATGGCAGTGGGGGAAAGATTTGAACGATAGAGAAGAACCAAAAAAACCCTAAAATCCTAAACTAATAGTCGGTCTTTCTTTCTGCTTTAGAGGTTGTAGTCGTGCGAAAGTGTTTACCTTTATAGGGATGGAGTACATACCAGAGGCATACAATGGCTTCATCTAAGCTCAAGCACATGAATTCTTCCCCTTCTTTCTTCATTCGAGCCCTCTCTATGTGCGGGTGTGTGTGTGTGTGTGTATCGGTAACAAAAACAAAATCGATCCTCTTAAATCGGAATTGCAGATGAACATGTAGAGGCGATAACGGCTTGGTATTTGTTTGAAGATGGTGGAGAGATGAAGGGAATCACAGGTGGTGTTCAGTCAAGATCCAAACTTTCGATCGTGGTGGCTGTCTTCTACACTTGTGGGTGGGTAGGTTTAATGAAAATGAATTAGGTTTGAATTAAAACTGATCTCCTATTTAAAGGGATATTATTTAATTTAACAATTTACTCTACAACTCCATACTCCATCCCACCCACAAAAAACTTTTACCTTATCCAAGTCATAATCTTCTCTAAACGTTTTTTTTTTTTTTTTTTTGTAATTTGTCACATTCTCATTTAATTTGTCAAATGTTATTTTATGGTTATTTTGAATTAATTTTTTTCTCATGTCATTTTATGAGTTTTTCTATTTTATTAAATTCCACATAATTTAATATAATAATTGCAATAAATGTAATAATAAATGGATATCAATTTCATTAATAAACTTACATTTTAATTTCAAAATTCTCAAAATTAAAGCTTATTAGTTTTTTTTATTTATTTAAATTAGTATTTATTTAAATTTAAAAGATAAAAAACATTTATGTTATAATAATTCAATATTTTTCTTATTTTCTTATAAATTCAAAGTTCTCAAATATTTTGACGTTTATATTTAACATTTTTTTAAATTAACCTATGTAATACATGAGTCTCACAACTAATACTCTTAATAAAGATAAAGAAAACCTAAAAATCAACAATTTCCATCCAATCATATTTCTATCCAATCAAACATCACATATTGTTATTTTTATCTTTTTAAGAAAATATAAATTACAAGTGTTTTTTAGAAATACGATTGTATGGAAATTGTTGATTTTTAGGTTTTCTTAATCTTTATTAAGAGTATTACGATTGGGGTTAAAAATAAAATAAAATAAAAGTCAAGTATGTTCTTTTACAAAACATAAAAAAAACACAAATAATATAATATAGATAGTATTAGTTTGAATTGATTTTACTGGACGACAGTAATCCCACCATCCAATGATGATTTGATTTTCTAGGGTTATCACTTCGTCTCACGTGATTACAAAAATGACTCAATTATTATTTTAAAATATTTTTTATATTTCACAAAATTCATTAGATTACTAACTTTTTACTAGGTAAATTATTAGTTATTCTCTTTACATAGTACACAAGTTTAAATAGGACTGTCAAAAAGATCAAATATGTATGATGTATTAGATCAATCTTAATTGTGGAAAAGGTGTTTAAGTGATAAAATTAATTACTAACATGGACAATTTGGTGTTGTTGATTAAAAATAAAATGGTGTATTGTTGTTTGGTATTTTTCGTAAAGTTTGAGGGCTACATTGCAATTACTAGATGGAGCGGGGTTTTGTGGGGCTGAATGGAAGATGAGGACCTAGATTTCTTTGTGGAGAGAGGAAGAAATAAAGGTGATTTTTCTAAAGTTGGAAAATACAAATTATACTTTGCGGGATTTGAAGAGAGTTGTCACATTTCTCTCTCGTGTTTTCCTGGGGTTGTTTGTATTGGTTCTACATATTTGTGTGACCTCTTCTGTCTGTACCGCGCAGATCACATGCAAACATAAGGACTTGCAATGTGTTTGTTTTTCAAAAGTCCGTAGACATAGAAACATTTGTACGAGGTCTTCATGGCACAAACATGGCCTTGAGTCTTCTGATGTCTGCAAGCTTTATTCACCCCCCCCCCCAAAAAAAAAACACTCGTATGTTTCTCTCTACATATCGGCGCTTCCATAGTTCCTTCTTACCATTCAATGCATCCCACCAATCATCTTCCTCCTCTACCTGCCGGTGCGGTCCAGATTGGTGGTCATTGTCATCGTCATCTAGAAGATGTCCACAGCCACCGCTGTCCATCGACTGTTGGGTAATCTTGATGGGTTAAGTTGGGTCATGGGTACGAGTTCAAATGGGTCGGTCCAGTTTCTTTATGCACAAGTTAAATAATCTAGACTTAGTCTAATATAGGACCTGGTTTGGTGGAGTTTCAATAAACGTGGACATAGTAGTCCTAACTTTGTGGTTTTAGCTAATAGTTTTCCTTTTTATAAGAATGATGATTAGTATAAGTAGAGTACGGTTTAGCTTCCAGTTTGTAACGCCCATAACTTTGGGCTAGACAATTGAGAAATAATAAGTAATGACTATTATAATTTAAACCCTCGAATAGGGAAATCGTTAATCGTGCACGTTGCATGCTACATATTATAAGCCTTTTTTTTTGTAGATTTATCGATAAGCGATAAAATAACGTTTCAATAGAGGATTATTTAGGATATAATATTGATGAAGTTATAGTATTCGAAATGGTGATTCCATAAATATAAGGAACACTCGAACCTGACTTCGTATTAAGAAGTTATGCTTCTTCGAAGTTTTGCAATTAAACCGACACAACTATGGGTGTAATAAAAAGTGAATTGGAGATAGGTTGCTTAATAGCATAAGTAATGTAACACCCGTTTTCCAAGATAGATCGCTTTAGGGTTTCAAGGAGTCAAAAGGTTATTTTTTAGAGAAAATCGAGTGTCACGACGTGACATTTGGGTGGTAACGACGCGACAAGGGTAAATATGAGAAACGTGTTCGGGACCAATCTCACGACGTGAGACATAAGGTCTCACGATGTGAGAATTGATGCAACCCAAGCCCATGATCTTTTAGGTTTTCCTTCGTATTTAACCCCCTCTAAGCCAATTTTAGGGTTCATTATCAGCCTCCAACACCCTTTTACCTCAGAAAAACCCTAACCCTAATTCTTTGGTTGATTCTTGCCCTTTTTGGAGAATTTCTTGGCTTGAAGAAGAAGAGAAGAAGGATAAAAAGGTGTTCAATTGGTGGAGCTTGCAAGGAAACATCATCATCATCATCATCTAATTTTGTTTCTGGACCTTTGTAAGTGTCGAAGGCTTAAACTTTATTGCTTAAGGTGGTTAGATCTAAGTTATTGTCCCATTTTTTTCATGTTTATGCAAGTTTAAATGGAAGGAATACATAAATTTGGCAACTTTATGCATTCTAAGGGTCCTTGGAGTATGATTATTGTTCAGATCTAAAAGTTGGTTGATTATTGGACCCATGTTTGAGGATTTTAGTTTAATCTCTTAATTTTGACCTAGAATAGATAGAGGACTTGCATGTCCATCAAGTAATCATTTTTATGGACCTTTGGAGTCCCCTTTGGCTTTTGGAAAAGTTAGAGTGAAAGACTTGATGGATTAAGGGCTTAAATCCTTGGATTTTGGCTTCAGACTGTAGTCACGACGTGAGACATGAGGTCTCACGACGTGAGACTGAAAGAACCCGTTTTTTGCTGAGATTTTTAGGGCTCACGACGTAACAGCAGGATATTCACGTCGCGAGGTCAACTCAAATGATTTTTCCATGACTGAGTGGGTTGAATTGGGGAGAGTCGAGTTGGAATCGGATCGAGTGGACTCTCACGAAGTGACCAAGGGTTGGTCACAACTTGAGGCTTGATAGTTGGCATTGTGGGCTGTTGAGTTTGACTTTGACCGTTGAGTTGTTTGACTTGGGTTGACTTTTGGTCAAATTTCTATTTTTAGAAGGCAGACTTAGGTTTTACCTTGTGTGTATTGTTAGGAGGTGTTTAGCACCCATCATTTGGCAGTAAGAGCTTCTAGCTGTGGTCAGCGCGACATTGAGCTGAGTTTTTAGTCGGCTTTATGAGTCAGGTGAGTTTTCCTCGTTGTACTCATGGGTCAAAGGCACCAATGTCGGCCCACTGGGTTATGTATCCTGGTGTATAGGATAAAGATATGTTGGTTATATGTTAGAATGGTAGATCTGTATGATTACACGTACATGATGGTTATTGGTCATTGTTTGGATATGTCGAAATGTTACTGATTCGTTAGGTTGCGTGTAACGCCGTAAATTTTCAAACAAAATTTTCATTTTTAAATCATATAATTCTCATAACACATTTCATAAAAATCTCATTTATTTAATTTACAAAACGCAACCCCATGTTTGTTTGATTAATAATCCAGGATCCTCGAAACATAACTCTTTCTCTGGTGTGTACAATCAAACCGGTGCCTTCCCGCGATCCTGAGAAAAACCTGAAACACATAACACATAACACGGTAAGCACGAAGCTTAGTAAGTTCCCCAAAATACCACATACAACTCTTTATCCACTCGAGGCTATAACTCTGTAAGACCCTCCGGTCAATGTGTCTCAGCGGGACCCTCTAGTCCTACAACTCTGATGGACCCTCCGGTCCTAACTCTGTGGACCTTCCGGTCTTAACTCTATGAACCTTCCGGTCCTAACTCTGTGGACCTTCCGGTCCTAACTCTGAATAATACATAGCATAAATCACATAGACATAATGCAAAATATCACAGTACTCAAATAAACACATAAGACCCTCTGGTCACACTACTCTGGTTACCACTCTAGGTATGTATAGTGAGAAGACTCACCTTGCAAGCAAGCAAGCAAATATCCTCGAACTCGAATCTCGAACTAGCCACCGCCTAACACATAGGGTAAATATCTCTAATTAATACTCTTTTCACGACTCAAATAACCGAAGGCTGTTTTCTCTATCTCTAACTCTTTGAAGTGGATAAAAGACCATTTTACCCCTCCATGGCCTCTATCACTCATGTTGACCAGAACCCCAAAGTCAACAGAAGTCAAACTCAAGTCAACAGTCCATGTTTGACCTGAATCGTCGAGTGCACTCATGCAACTCGTCGAGTCCCCTCTTTTACTCAGAAGTCTCAAGAAAGTCCAACTCAGCTCGTCGAGTTGACCCCCAACTCGCCGAGTTATCGCATGATCAAACTCATCGGGACAAACCCTAACCGACTCGTCGAGTCAGGACATGGACTCGGCGCGTCCCTTCAGTCTGTTTTCTCATTCAGATGTTTTAAGACAGATCTACTACCCTAAACTCTAGATCTAGCCTCCCAAGGCTTGACTGTCACGTAAAGCTTCAATCTTTACGTTCATGCAAGGCATACTTTCTCCACAATGCCAATACAAGTTCTAACAAAGGTTACATGCTCAAGGTCTTGTCTCTAACTCAATAAAGTTCGGGTTTTTGGGCTCACAATGCCTCCTACAACTCAGATATGAGGTTTCAACCTCAATCATGCTCAA